ACTCCACTTTGAGGTTAAGTAGATTCATATGTTACTAACTGTCAACCATCATTAAAGCCTATGGCAGAATCTTGATACATGTAGCACATTATCTGGACATAATTAACTACAGGGGCTCCTGAAAGTTGGCTGTTTGTATCTAAGACCTACCTTCACATATTTCCTAAATCCAGAGATTGAAAGAGAGTGAGTGACCTGATCTTCCTACTACTAAATGATGTTGTTATGTTGTTCTTTCTTTTCTTTCTTTCTTTCTTATTTTTTTTTTATAGATTTTTGCTATAGGACATGTATGCTTGCCAGAGAGACAGAAAACAAGGAATCACCCCCACGCCCCCAAAGGGGGGATGGCCACACTACAATCCCTTCTCCTCCATTCTCCTCTTGGGATTTTGGGCACACAGGCACATGAGCCCAGCATGAGTTGAGTGAGGCAGACTCAAACCAAGGTCAACTATGTGTGAGTCCAGTGAGGTAACCATTACTCCATCTGCTGGTCCCTGATGTTGTTCTTTCTAAACACAGAATATCATTTTATTAGGTGAATTCAAGCTCTTGTCATATTTCACATATATTTGACTTTCTTTCAAGTGTTGAAACAACTCATACATACTTACACGTGCACAAGGCTTGCTAATGCCTCCATGAGTGATCCCTCAGATTTGGAAATCCTTGACAATGGTTCTAGGTGGTGGTTGTAGGTCTCACAGTGGACCACAGAGACCTCCAGTGTTATAAACAACGTCTTTGTGTTTGATTTTCTTCTCAGTGTCTCTCTGATTTAACACAAAGGGTACAGGTTTTCCAGCTTTCACTACCAGGTAGCCTAAGGTGATTTTTTGACTAGACAGGGAGACATTTGACGCCCTGACATGCCATAGGTACCTGTTAAATATTTGTTAAATCCAAGAAGCTCTTTGAAAACTTTAACATCTCCTTGCCAGTCTTACATGTCATACCATTGAATTGAAATCCTGCTTCTCTACCATCTAATCATTTGCTGTAAATATTACTTCAGTCTGCCAGCAAACCCCTGGCAGTGTGCTTCCACAAAACCCAGAGAGTTCAGACATGATGGATACATAAAGCTACTGGTAACATAATTCTCTGGAAATCATTAGAAGTCTGCAATCTTGTCTCAGTGGTTAGAATTCACTAGAACCGGACAAGATGAAAGTACATTTGCAAATAACAAAAAAACCCTAAACATCATTGTAGACTGTCTTTTCTCTTTTATAGATGCTGTTAGAATCTAAGCATTTCAATGTGAGTGCCTTCTTGCTACTGAGTGAAACCTGTAAAAGAAAATTGGATTTCATTGAAGTATGAGGTGTTCCAAACACTCGTTGCTTCTGTCTCACTTGAAAAACAGCTCCCTCACCACTCAGAGATAAATGAATATCTCTCCACTGTCAGTTCTTTGGGTTGCAACTAAGCCAAGAATGAAATTCAGGGGAAGTTATAAGTAACAGAGGATCTTTGTCATAAATGCCAGAAAATTATTATGGGGGGAAAATTACATTTCATCAGCATTTTTCAAAGGTTGTTTCTTTTCATATTTCCCCCAATAAATTGAAAAGATTTCATTTCTAGACTTCAGTGAGATCTTTACTTGCTTGGCCTAGACTGAAACATGAACTACAGCCAAAAAGTTTAAAAAAAAACAACAAACTTAGAATTGTGTGCCTGAAAAGGTAACATCCAAATGATTTGAGATTTAAGAATGTACTATAATAACAAACTATGACTTTATGGCTTTTGGGGTTCAGAAAGCTTCATCACATTTAGAGTTGTGACAGTTTTGAAATAGGTCCAGAATTTTGATGTTTACATTTCTACAAATAAATATTTGCCACAATCAAGGTTGCTCTCTCCTTTTCAAAATTCTCAATTGCCCTTGACATTTATATAGCATTTTCTTGCTTTCTGTTGTCCTCATCTCATTTTCTGCATTTTATTTGCACCAAATGAATCAAATGGAAGAAGATAATAATAGCTCAGGACTTTTGTAGTCCTTCACAATGTTCAGATTATTGACGTAGAGACGTGAGGTCAGCAATCTTCCTGTTATAATCCTTACCCAACTGCTCAGGTGTTTCTCCATTAAGGGAGTCCAGCTGATATTAAAGGTTATTTAGAAAAACGAAGATGAATGCATTCATGGCTGTTATTTAGGCTATAATTCGATGTTTACTAAGATTCATGGCACTCCTGGAAAGCACTAAAAGAGTAATTTATAATAGAGTTCTCAGAAGCTTTATATGATAGTACGTGAATGTGAGTGTGAGTGTGTGTGTGTGTGTGTGTGTGTGCATGCACAAGTGCCTATAGGAATCCTGGTTTGATCACTACTATGTAAACAACCAGTGTTGTTTTTTGACATAAAGAAAAACAACATTTTTCTTCACTTTATAAAGAAAACAGTGAGCCTCTCCCTCAAAAATAGCAACAAAAGAGGTTAAATACTTCACATATCATCACTTTTTTTGTTTTGTTTTGTTTAGGTTTTGCCATAGGGCAAGTGCATTCACCAGGGGGAGAGAGAGAGAGAGTAAGAGGGAAAGTGAGAAATCATTCCACTAGGTGGAATGTCCATCCCTCAATCCCTTATCCTTTTGGGATTTTGGTCATGCACCCACACATAACCTGGTGTGAGTTTCAAGTTGCTGGGCTTGGGACTCAAGCTGTAGTTGGCCATGTGGAAGTTCAGCACCTAAACCACGACACCATTTGCTGGCCCCCCAATTTGGCATATAATCTTAACAAACATAACCCAGAATTTAAACAGTCTAAATTTTGTGGAATTCATTCAGTGTTGTGTCGAAGGAGATTACTAACCACACATTTTTTTTATTAGAAACAATTACTATTTTGTTAGTCACTATTAAAACCTGAAATAGAAAATGTTATGCAGCACTGTTTTTCCTTCTCACTCTCAGATGAATCAACTTTGCTTTTGCCAGCTGGAGAACTCAAGGTCGTCTCACATTCCAGTAAGACCTGTTGATTCTTTCGTAACACTTTCCACATACATGTTCCCATGGCTATGGCATCATTATTGTCTAAGTCTTTAATACTTCAGCCGATGGCTGTTTCATAACATCCCATCTGGTCTCCATGACTCTGGTCTTTTTTCCAGTCTACCTTTAAAACTATGAAATAGAGAGGCAAGACATTTAAGGTACCCAGAAATAGAAGACTATCTATTGACGACAAAGTGTATGCTATCTCTAACTGGTGTGCAGTGTATGCTGGGAAAATTCATTTTACAAGCTGTGGTAATGAACAGTGATTGAATGTATAAAATAAGTTTAAAAGATCATTTAAAAATTAAAAAAAAAAAACCCTAGGACCAAAAGTATTTCCCAAAATGACTGCAACTGTTATAACACTGTAACCATTATAACCAGACAGAAGAAAACAATCAGAACTCTTCATTGTCTCCTCAGGATTGACAATTAAAGTTCAGACTTTTCCAAAGGTCCTTCAAACTATGTCCATGTTAGTTTTTCCAAACATTTCTTTGGGACATGAATTTTCTAATCAATTCAGATGGGTTTGCTCACTGATTTTCTATTCTGTCTAGCACATTAACTTTTTTTTTTTTTTTACATCTTTCCTGTTGTTTTTCCTTTTTTTTTTTTTTTTAATCAAATATTTATCCAGTTATTCTGGAAAGCTTTTCCTACAGGGATTCTAGTGATAGGACCACACAATAACCACCAATAGCATTTCTTCTTGGGAAAAAAAATGGATAAAGAGAATAAATATTCAGTTGCAAAAGCAAATACAATGATGTATCAGATCAGAACAGGCAGGGTCAACGTTGCTGGTGGGGGGTTGTATATTAGTTCATCCGGACTGCCTTGACAAAGTACAGTTAACTGAGTGATTTCCCAAGTAGACACTTACTGTCTCACGGTTCTAAAGGCCAGAAGTCTGAGGTTGAGTTGTTGGCCAGGTTGGTTCCTTCTGAGGGGTATGACAGAAGGATCTGTTGCAAACCTTTCTTTTTGGTTTATAGATAACTGTCTTCTCTCAACTTCTGTCCACATCACTTTCCCTCTGTATGTGTCTTGTCTCTGTGTCAAAATCATTCCCTGTTATAACGATGTCAATCCTATTGGATTGGAGCCTACACTGCTAAGCTCATTTTGACTTGCCTACCTCTGCAAAGGCCCTATTTCCGAAGAAAGTCAAATTCTGAAGTACTGGGGGTTATGACTGCCCAATGTGTCTTTTCTGACCAGACACAATTCAACCTATAGCAGGAGGGCAAGTGGCTATGGTTGGGGATCTCTTAGGAATTGGTAGAATTAACTCAATTTTAAATGCTGCGTGAGTTTATACATGGAATTGTTATAAAATGTCTTAGTAAGCAATAGGTGCAATTTGATGAGAGATGGTTAATTAGGTTACAACCAATTAGAAGTTGTAAATAAGTCAATCCATGTAATCAAAACTGCATGTAATATGATAAGCAATAGACAGGATGCGAGTGCAAGAGCTTCCACTTCTCCGCTACGTGCCAGTGATCGCTCTCCACTGCCATCTCTCCAGCTATAGAACAGGATTAATAGTACTTAGTCACAGAGATGTTCTACATACATAACACAGATTGACTGGGAAGACAGTACCCAGCACAAGCAGATGCTTAATGAAGTAGCATTCTCTACCACTACATGGGTGAAAGACTGTCCCCATAGTATTAAACAGCAGTGTCCAGAATCAGATTGCTCTAGTTCATCCTAAATGAGTCTTTTTCTCTCTCCAGGAAAAACAAGGATACATATGGAACTTGCTTAGTTGGCTCGTTGCGTGGCTTGTCCTTGGAGTGATGCAGTGAGGCCATCCATAGACATGACCTCATTTAATTCTGTTTCTTTCCTTTTTTAAAATTTAATTTATTATTTTCATAATCTTGTTTATAGTACATTGGATCACATAGAGAAAGACACATTGGAGGATATAAAAGCCATGAAAACAGTTACGGATGCTGAAGACAGTGTGGAAGGGGGCCGGAGAAGGGCAAAGCACAGAGGAGGACAGCACGAGGACAAATAGAGAGGCCTTACCTTGTTCAATTCTGAAAACAAACACGCGATCTGGGCAGCAGCATCGTCTCCGTGCTACGAGTGAGAAGCTGAAGCTCAGGTGGGTTGAGGAACTTGCCGAAGCTGACTGCATGGCCCACACTCAACGTGACGAGCCATTTGCTGTTTGCCAATCTCAGGGCTCAATGTGGCATGCTTAGCTGCTGCTGTAAATGGGAAAAGAACGGAGGTTCTCAGTTGTAAACTATTCAGGGAATATGCCCTACATTAAAACTAGATAAAGGATGGCTTCGTTCAGCTAAATAATTTATGTATTTTGGGCCAACTCCTTATATTCCATGCTGACAATGTCCCACATGGTTGCAAATGACAGTAAGGTTAGACGTGTCTTGCTCTGGAAAGTATAACCAACAGCTGATTTCATCACCACTTTGTTTTCATCTAGTAACTGAAATTGCACAGGGCCTGCAGAGAAGACGCCAAGTGAGGACAGAGGCTTCCTCCTGCCCCCTGACAGCACTTCCAGGGCCAGGATAAGTGGTATCCTTGGCCATCCGGATAGCCACAAACAGCTGAGGTAAGAAATGGATACACATGTGTGTAATAGAGGGTTACAGGTACAGGAAATGGGGCAGGAAGGGCGTCCACCCTTGGTCAGCACAAATGGCACCTTTCCCTGCCTTAAATAAAAATACATCTTCTGGTTCTGCATTTCTCTTCTCATGAACACACGAGGAAGAAGCGCAAGGTGGAAGACATATTGTACTAGGATATAGGTATCCAGGACGAAGCAGATAAACACACACACAAGGTATTCAGATTGTGTCCAACTTCCAGAAATGTTCATGCTTTAAAAATTGTAATATAAAACATAAATACCCTGTGGTTAGAGCTATGTGATATGTTGAAAACAAGACTCAGAGGAGGAATAGAAAGTTCTAGAAGTTACACATTTAGTTGCTAACACAACCCCCATTTCTGTGTCTCATCTTCCATAGTTCAGAAGTCTGGTCACCATATAGATGGATCCTCTGCCTAGGGTCTCGCCAGCCTGAAATCAAGGAGCCTTCTGGGTAGTGCTCTCTTCTGGAGCTTACGATGTATACTGAGCTCATTCACGTTGTTGGCAGAATTAAGTTCCTCATGGTTGTAGGACTGAGGTCCTGCCTTCTTGCTGATTGTTGGCTAGAGGTTACTCTCAGCCTCTGAGATCTTCAAGTCCTGCCACATGGCCTTCTCAATACATAGGGGCTTATCTTCAGAGTGTAGAGTGGAATCTCTCCAGCCTCTTGTAACAGTCTTGAAACCATGTAACATCATCTCTTGGGAACCTGTTCTCAGGTTCTGCCTCCACTCAAAGCAAGGGGGTTACTAGGCAGGGTGTGTATACCAGAAGGTGGGGATATTGGAATGGGGGAGCCTCTGAGAATTCTGTATATCACGAAAGCTTATAAAAAGAACTATTGAAATATCATTAAAAGGCCAGATTAATAAGATAGCACAAAGCATTGTTTCTAAAATCCTCCCTAAACACCAAAAAAGATTCCTTCATACAAAAATTGTGTAAATCCTTGGAGGCTGTAAGACATTCTGGGAGGTGAGAGTCGAGGGTATCTGGGGGCAGAGGGTAAATGAAAAACAGTTGTAATTATTGTCATAATTAAAATGCCTGTTTTTGTTCTGAAAATTTACATTATCCTGTTGCATCCATGGTTCACGATTTGACCCTGAGTTTTGTTGGTAACAAGTTTCTCTGAAAGTTAATTTTTAACGAAAACTTGAGAGAAATGTGGAGACACAAGGCCTAGGAGTGCCTTCTGCAGGCTCACTTTTTACAACGGTGCAGAGCACCCTCTGCCCCTACCTCTGCCGGTGGGCGCACTAGGCTGTGTTCATATTCTGCTCTTTCTAAAGAAAAAGCAAGGCCAGTCTCCTGTGAGTGTGGAACACGGGAAACTCTTCCTCTGATCCCAGGCATCAGTGTGATGCCAGGTGTCCAGTGACGGGGCACCTGCCTCATTGCCAGGGACTTCTCATTCACTGTAAGGATTCTTGGAGCCACCCTGGTGAGCAGGGGAGACCACCTCTCCGCAGAACTGTAAGTGTGTTTCTGAGATCTGTCCCAGAAAGTGTCCCAGTGACGCTCATCATGAGGCAAAGAGAAAACCCTACTTTCTGTTCTCTCCCCAGTAATGATGACTGCCTCCTCTTCCTAGCCTTTCCTGTTATCCAAACCTAGTTTTGATTCACCCCTGTGTTAGCTCACTGGGTGGTTCCACCAGCTAGGGTGACTAGAAATTTTCTTAACCTCAAGATCTGGCTCCAAATCTCACCATTCCACCCCATCACTTCCATCTTTGATGAAAACCATGAGTTTCTAGGACTTTTCAGCCTCCAGGGGCTGGACTCACTTTGCAAGGGGCCTAATGGTTTTACCCCTCAAAAGGTTCAGTTAAAATGTTTGAAGAAATAGGTGCTAATGTCTACCAGGAAGTACACGGCTCCATTCATTGAGGCCATATGCCCAGTTTGGTGGTGAAGGTAATTATTATGGGACTAACAAGACCTATTTAGGTATGATTTCATCCTCTGAAAATATTAAATAATCTCCTTTGTGTAAAAAGTTCAACCTTTATGCACAAAAATTCAGGTTTATTCATATGTTGATGGTTGGCATTGATGTTTGCTGTGTTAAGGGCATTTTAGCCTGCAAAAATGAGATGTATAACGTAAATATAAAATATCTTCACATTTGCATATGCTATGGATATCAGGTTGAATGTATTCTTTGAAAATAAGTCTAAATGTTCACTTTCTTTAAATTTTAACATTTAAAAAAAATTCTTTTTTTGAGAGAGTCTTTACTATAGGGCCCATGCGCTCGCCAGAGAAAGACAGAGAGACAGAAAGCAGGAAATCATCCCCCAGGAGGGATGGCCACGCTGCATTCCTTTCTCCATTCTCCTCTCAGGATTTTGGGCATGCATGCACACACACCTGGTATGAGTTTTAAGATGCTGGGTCTGGGACTCGACCCGTGGTCGACTGCATGGGAGTCCAGCTACGTAACCATTCCACCATCTGAAGGGCCCCAATTCCTTTCACAGGCATCTGGTGTCCTATCAGTGTCCTCACTCATTATCTATTGCTGTACAATAAACCAGACTAAAATGTAAAGAACTTGAATAGCTGAAAACAACAGCCGCTTTTACTTTGCTATGGCTCTCTTATTTGGATAGTGCTTGGTGGGGACAGTTTGTTTCTGTCCCTGTGAGCATCAGCTGGAGTGGCTGGAAGGCTAGGGGGTGAAATCACCTGAAGTTTCAGTCACTTGCATTTCAGGTCTGGTTTGAGGAGGATCAAATTCCTGGGGGCTGGAACAGCTGTGGCTCCTGGGCATCTCCGTCCATCTCTGTCCACTTCGCTCATGGCTTTTCTCCACAGTAGCTTCAGGGTAGAGCTGCATATCTTACTTGTCAGTTCAGACTTCCAGGTGCTCTTTGAGAGAGAGAGAGCATACTCCAGGAAGAGGCGGGACACCTTCTATTCCCCAGCCCCCGTAGCCACCACATGATGTCATTTCTGCCACATTCTGTTTGTTGAGCCCGTCATAAAGGCTGACCAGGCTCAAAGCTAAGAGGTGTAGGCTTCCCACCTTGAGGGAAAAACAAGTCCCCAGAACAGCAAGGGGGACTGGAAATATTGTTGTCACCCTTTTGCAGCAGTCTCATTACTGGACTTAGAAAGGTGCGGGAATGGAAAGGTCCCTGACACGAGGGTGGAATTTGAGTCACAAGCTGAGAAATGGTGTGGCGCCAATGTCTGTGGATGTGAGTGGGAAGCAGCTCCACGAGACCCTGAATGAGAGGCTGTAAGAACGTCATTCAACCTTGATGGCCCTGGGAACCCTTGTCTGTGAGTTTATGGGTGATAATACTCCTCAGCATTGCTGTAAAGATAAACTATTGCACAGAGAAAAGTACATTTTATAGCTTCTAAAGTACTGTAAAGATGTTAGCATAACCCAAATATCAGACACTTGGCACCTCTAGTCTTCAATGATCTGAAGGTCATGCTTTTCTTGAATTTTAAAAACTGTCTTGAACTCTGCACGAGAAGAGCTCAGCAGGCCCGAGCCTGCTCCCTTAGAAAGTCTGCCCGCAGGGCTGGCCCTCCACCAGCAGGTGGTTCCCACCATTCCATGAACAGAATGATTCTCCACGTCTGAACTAGCAAACCAGGTAGAGCAGGCTCGGTGTGTCCTTTCTGTCTAGAAGTCTGCAACTTCAATACTGGCTCAGAAGATGGTGGCCGTGAGACCAGTACCCAGTTAAAAGCCTTCATCTTGAATGAGTCTTCAGTGAGGTCCCTGGATAGACAGCACTTCCCATGCCTTGTTTTGACTTGGTGGGGGAATTAAGCTCACCCTGTGCGGTTCCACTGGGAGAAGGTTCTTGGAGTTGGGCTTCCTTTCGATTCTGCCCCATGCTCCTTTTCTTTTGCTGATTTCGCTTGGTATCTTTCATGTAATTAATCATAGCCATGAATGCAACTATATGCTGAGTCCTGTGAACACTTCTAGCAAAATATTGAACCTCTAGGCAGTACCGCAGGTCCCTGATACAAGCTTCTGCCTCATAATTAGCAAAAGCGCAATTATTTTTTTTTCTCCTAGAGTCAAGGCTCTTTCTTCTCCTGTCACCTCTTGCTCTAGGTTCTTACTTCTAGAGAAGTTTTATTACTTTTTAAATTTGTTGGTGGTGTTTTTGCTTGGACTACCATTTTTAAAATTAATTTTTAAAATTATTATTCATACATTAAAACGCTATACATCATTTAGATTGTGGAGAGACTTTACCCAGCATGATATACACCTCAGTTGAGACTATTGTACACATCCTCGTTAACAGATAATAAACCTTATCTGTGCCCCACAGTGTCTTACCTCTCCATTTTCCCCCAAATTTCCTTTCCTATGCTCTTCCTTTCCCACACTCTCTTTCCACTTTATCTCTAGTGTTATTACAATTTTTAATGCTTTTATGTTCTCCAGTCTTTCAGTCTCCACCATAGAGTGCGGATAGTTGGTATATGTTAAGTGGAGACCTCCAATGTCTCTCAAGTGGATCAAAGATGTAAACCTAAGATGGAAAACTATAAAACTACTGGTTTAAAACACTGGAAAAACTCTGGGAGACATTGGGGTAGGCAAAGACTTCTAAGCAAGGCCCCCAAAGCACAGGCAATAATCCCCAAAATAAACAGATGGGATTACATCAGATTAAGGAGTTTCTGCACAGCAAAGGACACCATAATTACTGTGAATCGACAACCCTTGGAATGGGAGAGAATTTTTGTTAACTTTGCCTCAAATAAGGGACTGATAACCAGAATACATGGGGAACTCAAGCAGCTTACACCGAAGAAAATAATTAACCCAGTTAAAAGATGGGAAAATGAGCTGAATAAACAACTCTCTAAGGAAGACATATGAACAGCCAAAAAACATATGAAAAAATGCTCAGTATCCCTCATTGTAAGGGAGATGCAGATCAAAACCACAATGAGATACCACCTAACCCCAGTCACAATGGTGAAGATTAAAAAAACAAAAACAAAAACAAATAATGATAAGTGTTAGAGGGGATGCAGTGAAAGGGGAACACTCCTACACTGTTGGTGGGAATGTAAATTGGTCCAGCCACTGTGGAGAATGATGTGGAGGTTCCTCAAAGACCTTCAAATAGGATGCCATTTTTTTAATTGAAGACAAATCTAGGTGGGAAATGGAACTCTATGCTTTTGAACTACTTCTACTTATCACTGTCTATCAGAATACAGTGACTAGAACATTCCGAAGACTGGAGGTGATGAACTACTAGGTAGCTTGGGCATACAATTTAACATCTATGAGGTGACTTTCCAACGTCGGGGAGGCCCAGTCTCTATGCACAATTGGTACCATACCAAACTGCAGTGCTGGAAGAAGCACTGCACGGCCAACCACGGGTTCGGATCTGCAACTCAGGAGATCTGAAACACCAATCGTGATGAACTAGAGAGCTGGGGAGAGGCAGCATGGCCTAGCAGATGCTGTTGAGGGTGTTTCCATCTCTCATGCATGTAAGGTGCATGTACTCTCTGTTAGAAATAAACAAACTGAAGACATTCATAGAAAATGTAATTATAAAACATGAGTTCAGGGCCAGCAGATGGCATAGCAGTTACGTCACTGGACTCCCACATGGCCAACTTGTGGTTTGAGTCCTGGACTCTACAGCTTAAAACACGCCAGGCACATGGAGTGTGTGCCCAAAAGCCTGAGAAGAGAGAGGAGAAGGGATGGCAGCATGGCTGTCCCTCCTGGTGTGGGGGATGGTTTCTCACTTTCTCTTTCTCTGTCTCTGTCTGTGTCTCCAGCAAGTACATGCACCCTATAGCAAAAATCTCTCCAAAAAATAACTAAATAAAATATGAGTTTATTTTGGTGAGAAAATATTTAAAAATCTATGCATAGTTTTTCATAACATGTATTTTTCATAACATGTATTTTTCATGAACATTTTGAAGACCCATTGTATACTTAGACAGCTCAGATCTTAAAGAATCCCTCAGCAAACACCATCACCAGAAATTCTCTCTTGTGTGTCTTCTCCTTTCTCTTCTTAGCAGTCTCTTCACCTGTCCCTCCTCATTTTTCAGCAGTGCTCCAAGTAGCTCCAATATGCAGGGCACTTGAGCTTGCTTTCACTGTGGGTCCTGCCTGGCATACAAACTGGTGCATTACCAAAATAGCTGGACACGATGGGTTTGCCAAGCCAGCAACGACTGCAGTAGGGATGTTGTTTCTCCCACTGGACTGATTTTGAATGTTCTGTTAGTATCACCTTTTTATGATTTAAAACTCAGTATTATCTACACTCATTTTTCAGAGCAACATGAACCCATAGCTGGCCAAAGAAATTAATATCACCTGCTTGATAGCCACCTGGTTTTTGCCTGCCTTTAGCGGTAACTCAGGTCACTTAAGGTGAGTACATAGGATCCAACAAGTGAAAAATGTAGTGAATGCTGCCATGTTTTTATTTGGAGAAGCTTTGAGGAACAGAAGCTAATTTTTCTTTTTTCCCCCTTTTTTCCCCATATGGTTATTTTGATTAACCTTTGACTAGATTTTACAATGTACATCCTCCCTTCTGGTGTCTCTCTGTTTCCCTTTATTCCATCCATTCCTTGATTCCACTCCCTGCAGTGCAGAGTGAAGGGGGACCCACATCAAATGCCTATTATGTACGAGGGAGGGTTCCAGGCTTTGTGTGTGCCTGTGTGAGCTTGTTCCACTAAATTTAATTTCAAAACAGCCCAAGAGAAATAGATGTGATTCGCAATGTTACACGTATGGAAACTGAGGCTGCGAACTTAATACACATGGGTTTCACCAACCCCAAAACAGAGGGGCAGAGGGACCTAAATTCAGGTCTGCATCACTTTGGAACACCTGCTCCTTCCAGGAAGCCATGGCGAGGGGGAAGAACACAGAACATTGCTACTTCACCTTTTACTTTTGCTTTTAAAATGGATGAAACATGGTTCTTTTTTAATTCATGAGACACCCTCATCTGCAAATCGGAACAATTCGTTTTCTCCTGGAAAGTTGTGTATCTTTGCACAAGCTCTCCTAAGATGTTAAGTTTCCATTTGCGGTTTAATTTTATGTGTGAAAAAGTGAAGTCTCAGGCACTAGCATACCCTCCTCCTCCACCGCACTTACTGCTCAGTGAGGGCAATTAGCTCGTCAGGCCGTGACTTGTTGCGTGTAATGTTGGCACCGTCTTTACCATGGCTGTCACCAGTATACTCAGCCTTCTCAAAAAGCACTGGATTTGGCTCAGGTATTTTTAGACCATCTTTGGATGGTTTTTAACCATTTACTGCGGTAAAGTGGGAAGGCAGATTCACAGGGACTAGAGTAGGGAGCCCTGTGAAGACAACAAACTCGATGCTCTTCTTTGCAAATGTAGATTATACTCCTGGGGTATGCCCTGGGAGAGGCTTACAGAGCTGAGAAAACCATCTTGCTTCCTGCCAGGGTTCCTTTACTTGCCTTAGTCAAGCCCGAGGGAAGCTCAGAGGCTGCGACAGTTCTCTTCTTGACTTGGGAGTCAGAAAAATTAACATTTTTGGTAGTCCCTGCTTATCCTCAATACTGCTTCCCACAGTTCCAGTTTCTGGTGGTCAACCATGGGCCTAAAGGAGGTGAGTATGGAACAGTAAAATATATTTTAAGAAAAAGAGAGACCACATTCACATAACTTTTATTACATCATAGCATTGTAATTATTCTTTTGTTGTTAGTTACTGTTGTTAATTCCTTACTGGGCTTATTTTTTCAGTTAAACTTTATTCTAGGTATATACGTATAGGAAAAAAACAGTATGCATAGTTTGATACCATTCGCTGTTCAGATATCCACTTGGGGTCTTGCATTATAACTCCCACAGGTAGGGGGCGACTGTGTGCATTTACACTGACCACTAAATAAACCAAAGAATTAAGCATAGTAGAACTACCTGGCAGGCTGAAGGGACCCTGAGTTGGCAGAGTTAGGTGGAGCAAAGTGGCCGGGCACACCTGAGTGGACCTGAAGGACCTAAACAGACCCTCGCTCATCGGCTGCAATTGTTCTGTTTATAGGTCAGCTTCTGTCATTGGCAACTGTGTGACAATCAGCTCCACTGAGTTTAACTGCTGCAAGCTAACTAGGATTTTTGGGAACTTAGGCGCTGAGAGCTGCCACAGTGTTATGCCATACTGGTAGGGAAGAGCCCCATGTTTGTACAGTACCTCACTTTACTCGCTCTTGTCAAATCTTTTCCCTGAAGCTTTGGCATTTCATTGATGACCTGGAGGTCAAGTCAATGCCAAATTCCAGTGACTCGGACACTGTACATTTGAAAGTGCTTTGTTACTTATCATGTGCCATGCAAGTGTTTATTTTTACTGTTGGTGTTATTTTTCTGTTTGAATGTAGAGTAGAGCTCTGTTCAGTCACGTGCAGTCAGGCCTGCCCTAATTCCAGAAGTCTGTGCTAGGGAGAAGGCCCCATGAGCCTTCTGCACAATCGGCCGCCACCAAGAGCAAATGCTTTGAGAATATTCCCTGAGCTGTGCCCAGTCTCAAGCTTGATTCTCAATTAGAGGTGTGAGAGCTCCAAGGAGAGTTTATAAAACCACTGCTAACCTCATTAGAGGTTCCAAACACACAAGCCACTGGTTCAATACCCCATAGAGAGAGAAGGAAAACTGACAACAGTTTTCAGAAAATCAATGACAGGTTCTTGAGGCAAAATTGTTTTCTTAATAAATTGGCACTGCCGAAGATCTGGTGACAGCTGTGGGGAATTCCCAGGGCTCATAAATTAGCTAATGCATGCTCTTGCTTTTTAAAACAATTCAATCCGGGTAATTCTAGATTTTAGCTCTATTTGACTATTTGCATAATTTTGTAAGTGGCTAAAACCGTGTCACTCTTTAGTTTTCTTGCAGTGGGGTTCACGCCTTTAAATGCAACACCCAGGCCCAGCCTCTGTGGTGTAGGTGTAACACAAGCGTCTTGTGAGGCTGGAAGCCACGTGTCAACCACAGGTTCAGACTTCCAGGCTCACTCGAAAACGCATTGGGAGAGCACAAGAGTGCCCAGGATGCTAAGGGACTGGAGGACCAAGGAAAGGGCATTGCGACATGAGGAGACCCTGTCGAGGACATTTCTCTGTCTCTCTGCCTCTTGCACACTCTGTAAAAATCATGACAACAACAACAAAATGTAGCATTTAGTTTAATTCTCACAAACTCTTACAAAGCCCTTCAACTATATTCCATTTTTCCATGAAACATTGACTAGTCCCCTCAAATGATGCAATTTTAGCTTAAAATGTTGCTAGTAGCTTACATTAATTTTGTGCTTAATGTGAGAAACTGTGCTAAGATGTTAATGATCTCATTAATTTATTCTTCCTTTAATCCACTAAACTAGAAGCTCCGTGAGACTGGATATTTTTACCTTGAATTTCCACCATTGTATCAAGGGCACTGGTAATAGTTCAAGGCATGGAAGAGATACTGAATATTTGTTGAATGAGGACCAGCAGTGGCATGGTGGTCGAGGTGGCTGGATCCCACACGGCTGACTCAATGACTTGAGTCCTGGACTCAGTGACTTGAAAAACACACCAGATATGTGTGTGTGGCCAAAATACCAAGAAGAGAATAGAAGAAAAGTAATATGACATGGCCATTCCCCCAAGGGGTGATTTTTCACTTTCTCTCTCTCTTTTCTCCCTCTTTCCAGCAAGCACATGTGTCCTATAGCAAAACAAAACAAAACAAAACAAAAACTAAAAAAAAAAAATAAAACTTAAAAAAGCCAAAGTAACCCCCAAATATTTATTGAATGAATACACGACTCTCATGATAACCTTTTTTATTTCACAAATAAAACAATGAAAGATTAGGTAAGTTAAATGATTAGTCCAAGGACACACAGCTGGTAGGGAGCAGAAGTATGGACCGCGCTCACCCAGTTTCTCAACGTCCCCCTGCTGTCCCTACTTCCCTCACCTCACCCCGGGACTATGACTGTAAGTATGAACTGTAAACTGTGTGACTGGAAGTGCTTGGATAAAGCGTGCAGGACTGATGACACCAAAGTCTTTGAGGGCTGCCTGCAAGGTCGTCTTTGACAGCTTGAGTTTTAAGTGATATTTGGAAGGAGGAAGGGGCATAGTTTTCTAAAAAGAAATAGAAAAGATATTCCTGGGAGAAGAGAGTGAGGAGAAGGTGGGCCAAAATTCAGAAGCTGGAGTTGGCATCTTGACTATAAGCAGGCTTGCTTCTCTCGAGATGAGCTCAGAAAAGAAGGCTTACTGGAAACGAGGTATGCTCAGGAAGAGCTTTCTCATCATGCTGGATTTAGGATGAGCATTTGGAATAGGGGGGACTAAAGGCTCCTGTGCATTTTTGGGGGGAGGGAAATAATACTAACACAATATATTTAAGGAGGCTGGTTGTTGTGGTTGTGGGCAGCAAAATTTTTTTTTTCTTTTTTTTTTGGGGGGGGGGGGAGAGGGTTTTCGCTATAGGGGGTGTGTGCTAGCCAGACAGACAGAGAGAGAGAGAGACAGAAAGTGAGAAATCACCCCCCAGGGGGAATGGTCACGCCGCAATCCCTTCTCCTCCATTCTCCTCTCGGGATCTTGGGCACCCACGCACACGTGCCCGGCATGAGTTTTAAGCCACTGCGTCCGGGACGTGAACCGTGGTCGACTACGTGGGAGTCCAGTGACATAGCCATTACGCTAACTGCTGGTTCCCTGAGCGGCAAAATTTTGAGGGCATAAATATCACAAGGTTGTTGTGGTAAGACAAAATGCAAGATGGTTAAAATGTTCACTGCCCATTGAGTCTTAAAAACTGAAATGATTGATGGGGCCAACAGGGGGCGTGGTGGTTAGAGGTGCTGGACTCCCACATGGCTGACCACGGTTTGAGTCCCAGACCTGGTGGCTTGCTCTCCGCCTCTCTCTTTTTCTCTTTCTCTTTCTGGTCAAAATTGAAAAATAATGATAATAAATGAATAATTATTTTAAAATAAAATAAAAAAAAAAACCCTGAAATGTTTGGGACCAGCAGATGGCATATTGGTTATGTCACTGGACTCTCTATGTAGTTGACTGCAGTTCGAACCACAGACCAATGGCTTAAAACTCATGCTAGACACCTGTGCATGTGTGCATGCTCAACATCCTGGGTGAAGACTGGAGAAGAAGGGATTGTGGCATGGCCACTCTTACCTGGGGGGTGATTTCTCGCTTCCTGTCTCTCCAGCAAATACATGCACCCTATAGCAAAAAATCTCTCTCTAAAATAAAAAGTGAAGTGATTATGTCTGAGATGTGTTTCAGAAAAAACCCTCTGCAGGACCCTGTCTTGAACTGGATGTTGGGTGTGACAAGTGGAGGACT